TTCTTAAAGTATCTTTAATTTACTGCCATGGTTACTTTCCAGAACCGGTGATAACTATGAACCACTGAGGGTATGACAACCATAGTTATAGCCTACAATTCCAGGAATTTTCCTCTTGCACATTCCACGAATTTCGTGTGTAATTTGCATTTGTTCTATTATTGGTATTTTAAAGAAATATTGTTTGATGATTTTTTCAATTGTTCTGGTCCAAGACGGGAAAACATCAGTTTCTCTGCATGTTTGATGTCTTGTCGCTCCAATTGTCTCTCATTCTCCACCCATGCCGGAGGACCCACAAGCCAAGACACAGACTGAGCATCTGGGCGATTCGTGGGCGGGCCATAGTAGCTAATAGGTTTTAATTATGTCGATATAAGTTGGTTGAAGTTGGTTTCTAAATTATATAAACCATAGCAACCATAGTTTTTATGTGCTACAAGTTGGTTTATAATTGTTTAAACCATACTTGTAGTATCTTGTAGTAGCTATGTCGATATATCGGCCCATAAAACCAACTCAGTGCAATTGGAGAGTCGAAGCCTAGGCTGGTGATTCATGAGGAGAAGGAAGAGGAGATAGAATTACTGCAGAAGTCGCAGAAGACTGTTAAGTTTAAGGTTGTGTTGGAATGTCTGGGCATTATTTCGGGTCAGTGTGATATTTTCTTGCAGCTGCTGCAATCATTGCCATTGGTTGATGCACGACAAACGCATCAGGAGACATTGGCCCGCATGGAACAAACTTGCCTTGAGTACAGAAACCAATTGGAGCGAGCTTCGGAGTCTGTGGCGGTGCTGGGACTGGATCTGCCCGAATGTGTGAACTACCATTCCTTGAATTTGATTGCCCTGGCTGTGCAGCAATGCAGGAAAATCCAAGGGTTGTTCGGCAACCTGTGTTGTCGTGAGTGTATGTGGGTGAAGGAAGTTGTTGAGCCCGCGTGGTCAAATTGTTTGAAGGATGATGTTTCCTTTTGGAAATTATTGTTGTCACATCGTCAAGTGATGTATCTGTTGGAGGCCACGGATGACGATCAAAGCTGGAAGAGCAAGAATTTGGCAGTGAATTTGCGAAATGTCCGCCAGTGTCCACTGCGGGTTCCTTGTGCTGACAGAGACAGAAAACATGCCAGCAGAATGCACACACGGTGTTCGAGCCAAGTGAATATGATTTGTCAGGTGGGCCAACGTTGCTCATCAGAGGGTTCGAGATGGGATTTTGCGATGACATTCAGCCCGACGTTTGCTTTTCCAGCCTCAATTCTTTGAGAAAGTGGCCGAAGAGAAATTTGTTTCTATCATGATTGCTGCAGTGAAGGAGGCTTTTTCAAAGTCTTTGCAACACTTGCGCACCTTGGATGATGACAAGCGGCACATGGATCGCAACAGCGGCCAGTGGGTGTCTGAAAATTATGATGTTTGGGTCTGGGCCAAAGTTGTTGCTCGGCTATGAAGGGTGGTGTGGAGCATGGCATGGGATGCTTCTCGACTGTGTGACCTTACCAGTTTTGTCTGGGTCGGTCTTGTCGATGCATCTGGCCTGGAGCAGCCGACTATGAGAAAAGGTGTTTTGTGACAGCGGTTGCATGACAGTGCTTCCTAGTGACATTTTCACACATCGGTTGTGCCATTGATCCTTGCTGGAGGCTGGGCACTGTTGATGCCTGTAGCGCATATGCATTGCTTGCATGTTTCTTCTGTGGCAGGTTCTCTGCGGTGGCAAAGTTGCGGCCATGCTACAGGCTTGTGCTCTGGGGTCTGCTTGGAAACACTTGCGACTGAGACATTCATCATGTTTATGTTAGCAGTTTGTATTGGTTAGCAACAGCTTGCGCAGGTTTTGACTTGCAGCACTTGCATGACAGCAGTTGCATGACAATATTTCTAACTGACATGTGTTTTAGCAGGCATGCATGAGGTTGATGTTTAGAAGTCTGTATGGGTTAGTAACAGCTTGCTTAGCTTGTACATGACAGCACTGGTATGACAGCGGTTGCATGACAGCGCTTCCTTGTGATATTTTCTTACATTGGTTGTGCCATACGCATTGCTTGTTTCTTTTCTGTTGAATCAGAAGTTCGGTCTTGAATCAGGTGGTGGCCTGGTATGTCTTGGCGTGTTTGTTGTCCAGCCTCATCTGCAGGTGACATTCCATCACTGATTCAGATGGTTTCCCACAGTGTCCTGGCATGTTTGTTTTCCAAGCTGTGCCGCAGCCGACATGACATGAGTGATTCAGGTGGTCTCCAACATGTCTTGGCATGTTTGTTTTTCAAGCTGCACTGCAGGCGACATGACATGAGTGATGCAGGTGGACTCCAACATGTCTTGGCATGTTTGTTTTGCAGCCTGAACTGCAAGCGGTGACGCCAGGTGACATTCGCGAGTGAAGCGGCAGACCGGCTGGCAACGTCACAGACCAAAAAAAAAAACGCAATGGCTTGCTTGCAAAGGGAGTGGCTGGTATCTATGTGACAGAAGATTTGTCAGTAACAAAACGTATAAATGTCATGGTGGGGTTCACTCGAAGTAAAGTAATTTAGCTCACTGGGGCAGCCTTTCTCGTAAGCAAAATTGTCAGATTTGCAGGTCAACCTTGGATGGGTATTTAGCCGATTTAGCCATCAACATCCGGACGAACTCACCTTCGTCTAGACGACGATCAACCGGCTCCACGTGGGTATATAAATTCCACGCGAAAAACCTGGTGGTTTGATTAACAAAACAGACATATGGGTCAACTGTTAATTGGTATTGCCACGCAACTTCATTCTTTTCGTAAGGTATGAAAATTGGAACCTATTTCGAAATGGCCTAAGGCAATTTTCTCCCAGAAGGTCTTCATCGTACTGTCTAAATATCTTCCGTTCCCCCAGAAAAAGAAGGTAAGTAAACTACTGTAAGTTCTGTGTAAATTAATATTTTCCGTGACCAGTACTGTGGCCTCAGATGTGTAGTACTGTGTACAGTAATATATACAATATCTGGTTGGTGGTTTTAAACATTTGTCATTTTCCATAATATGAATGGATAATCCTTCCCATTGACGAACTCATATTTTTCAAGATGGTTAATTCACCACCAAGCAGTGTATTCATCTATATTATCATGGTCTCAGTCTCAGCAATATCAAACATGGTGTCACTGTATAGTCATAATACGCTATATCATAGTACACTATTAATTTAAAACATACTACACTATGTAGTACTATAGACTATAGCCTATATAATTCTACTTTGTTGTTTGTATACATCCTACCACAGTAATTACTACAATACTATGATTCTTGTAAGGTAACTTCCCCCGGTATAGCATCTGAAGTTCGTCCACGGCGGCCTGGTGGATTTAGGCTGATCTAACCATGGCTGTGGCTATGGATCAATACCTATAGATAACAATTTGTTGTATATCTGTACTGTATTATATATGGTATCTATTTTCTATGGCTATACAACTTGTACAAATCTATATATATGATGGTACAATTTGTAGATTCTCTATAACTGTATTTGTTGTAATTTGGGTATCTATTATCTATGGCTATACATATATGGTCCTCGTATATAGATTTGTATTATAACTGGACATAACCAATCTATGGCTATATCCCAAAGGGGATGAACATCCATAAATCCCAACTGTTTTGATGTGGTCACAGAAGGGGTACAGGGTAACGTGACTCATCCCCATATATCATCGATGTTATGTCTATATAGTCATCCTGGATTTTTTTTTAATAGGGAAATTTCAAGAAAAACACCAGAATTATGGAAACATATTTTTTAAACTCCCATATTCTACCCTGCTGTGCAGTTAAGGTGTCCACAACAATGCTTGATATCATGATCTATCACAAAAAAAACATCTATCTTTGGACGGCTGATGCCACTGGCACTGAGGCAAGATGGGGTTCGGGGCTCGGAACACGTCAGCAGGATTTTGATGTCGACGTTCATCAAAATAGGAGATGATTTAGTCTGGTATATGGTATAGTAGAAGGTGTCTGTCGAAAAATCGTGACCCACAAAACAGGTTGATTTCAAAGGTTTTTATCTCCCAGAAAGATAACCTTTGGATTTGAGCAACATTTTGTTGAGGATGAAGATCAACTCATTGGGAACACCCTTTATGAATTGGGCGGAGAAAATCCAGTAATCTACAGTTGGATGAGTGAACAGTAATACACATCTGCAACTGGTGGGGCTGTTTGTTGTATTGGGATTTACCAACAAGTCTTGCGACGCAATTACATCATTTTGAACCAAAGATGGGGATGTACAAGCGCAACGTTTCAGCGCAGTTGTTTTTTCGGCGACTACCGAAAAGGTATTTCAAACAATCACAAGTGTTTCTGTCCCCAAAAACTATAAAGACCCAAAAACAATGCGTAGTGTGAGACTGGTTTGTACAACATAGCCAATTCTGTGAGCACATCCGTACCCCGATCACATTAGCCAGGAAGTCATGAAGCATATGCCGGGAAATATGTTGTAAGGAAATATGCCAGGAAACCAGTTCTTCCAGTAAATAGAGTTGATGTTATTTTTGTCTCTTTGCAAATTTGATTGTAAATCGCAAAAAAATGCGAAAAACGTGATATTTTAACTCGAATTGCTGCTATCCCAAGTTTGGATGAAAGCAAATTCAATCCCTAATTTGACCATAAACAAACCTGGGATGGACCCGAATTTCTTGGTGAAGCCTAACATCATGGGACGGATCCACCTAGCAGATTTTTCTTAGGGATGAGTTGGGGGATTCGATGCTTGACACGAAAAGAAGACACAACTTGAAGTTCACCTTCAAAAAAACATGTTTTCCCTCCGGTAAACTCCCAGAACCATATCGAAAATCCATGAACAAAAACATTTTTGGGTTTTCCCTCACCGTAACTCTATGGTGAACATCCCCATCTTTGGGGTCCATCTTTGACAGCCCATGGCTTAGCTCGGGCTCTCGCGTCAGCCTCAGGCCATCTTCTGCGAGCATTGCCAGATGTGGCTCAACGGACCTACACAGCTGGGAACCTCATGGAAACGATCCCAAAACGGCCAGATTTGTAGCGCCTTCGGTTGGTTGATGTTGGTCGTAATGTCAACCCTGGATTAATAAACCCCAAGCTTACGGCTGTTTAATTGTTAGGGTACCCGCAAAAAAGTATTAGATTATATATGACTATTGGAGGAGTACCCCCCCTAATTAGTAAACCATGGTTTAAAACATGTTAGGTTGACAGAAACATGCCAGGTTTAAAACTAGAGTTGGAAACAACAAGACATGGCGAGTTCTTCTTTTTTCCGGTCCTCCAAGCTAATTCAATTTTTGACCCCCTCAAAGTTCCACGTTTTACCGTCACCTCAGGTGGGCAGACCATGAAATCGGCAAGAAACATCGCAAGGCCGTCCATCGGCAACAGGCATCGAATCGGGAAAAGGCGCGCCGCCGCCGGGCGCGGCAAGATGGGCTTTTTGGTGGTGCCCAGCCAAGTGCCCAAAAGCGCCCAAGCTAAGTTGGTGTGCACACAATTCCAATTTCACCGTTAGATACTGTTTCGAAGAACATGGGGCATTTTGACATTTCAATATGGAGGCTTCCTAAGTCATGTGGGTATACCCCTACATGATCTAAATGGCTCATGTTCATAGGATTTTCCGTTATAAAGCATCCCTTTTTGGGGATCCCCCCATGACTATGGACACCCCTGTATCTTTCAACAATCGATGGGATGAGGACACCACCAAACTCAAACTCAGTTCTGAGTGAATTCCAGTGTGACTTCATTGACCATTCCATGAAAAATTGGTTGTTGAGTGGGAATGGTTACAAGAATCCCCACTAACCCCCCTGTTTGGGAAATTTGGCCCCACGTGTTGTCGCAACTCACATTGCCAGATTGAACATCCAAGGTGTACCCCAACAGCCTCATGTTTGACCTGTCACAAAATTATCCAAGTCACCTTATTTTTCAGCTTCAGTCTCAATTTAATTTGGATGAAATCTCACGTCAAGACGGACCTTAACTATCCTCAATTCCTGATTGTTTCTCGCAGTGCCACGATGTACAAAAGACGTGCACGCTACGATCAGATGCTGGTTTTGATCGGAAAGCACCGCCAACCGCTATTGATTGTGGTGCGACTCAACACATCAGGTTGGCTATTGCCAGGACGAGCACTCAGGTAACTAACAGGAGCTCTTCGCCCACTATTTGGATTTCGACCACACCATTTTGGATTTCATTTGCTCACAACCAGACCAGTGTGTGTCTCCAAAGAGCATCATATATATATATATGAGTAACCGACAAAATGATTGTAATACTAGTTTAGTTTTGCTTCGCCTTGGCCGGCCTCTTTCTGAGGTTGCAGAAAACCTTCATAACCGATAGGGGACGACCCGGACTACCGATACCCCATTTGTGATACCCCAGTACTGAAATCCTCATAAGCGATGGGGGACGACGCTGTGCTGTGCGCGTGGCAGTAAATTTGACAAATCATTTCGTCCGCTAATATATACTCTGGTTGGTGGTTTGGACCATGTTTTATTTCCATAATAGAAAATGGATGTCATCCCTCCCATTGACGAACTCATACTTTTCAAGATCGTTAAGTCACCCCCAACCAGATATCCTTTGTTTCCCATTTCCCAAACACATTTGTGTCTGAACATAGGTCGATGAACCACTGTACTGGTCCACATTATCCACATCTGTTGGTTATGCACTTATAAACACCAAGATCCAATATATTGTCAATTGTGTCAATGCACTATTGTGTTTGCCATCAGAATCACTCATTAAATCCCATTCAATTCCGATTATTTCCCATTAGTTTCATGATCCATTATTTTCCATCCATTATTTCCATTACTTCCCGTTATATTCCCATGATTTTCATGTTTTATTTCTATCAAATCCCATTCAATTCCCATTATTTCCACATTTGTATTCTCAATATTGTCCAATATATTCCCATTATTTTCCAATATATTCCCATTGAATTTCCATTAAATTCGCATTATGTGCCATTTATATTCCCAGTATTTTCAACATATGTTCCCATTATTTCCACTTATAATTCTATTATTATCCTATATATTCCCATTATTTTCTAATATATTCCCATGAGTTTCTATTACATTCACATTATATTCCACTTACATTCCCATTGTTTTCCCATATATTCACATTATTTTCCAATATATTCCCATTAGTTTCTATTACATTCACATTATATTCCACTTACACTCGCATTGTTTTCCCATATATTCACATTAAATTTCCATAATGTTCACATTATATGTCATTCCTACTCCCAGTGTGTCCCATTTCCGACAAAAACATCCAAAAGCCAGGGGAAACGTCCCCAACCACCACTACCGGGTTTGGGTGGTGTGGACGTTCCGGGCTTTAGCAACGAGCCGGAGAAGGTCGCGATCGGATGCAAGTTGATAATCAAACGTTTTATGGGATATTAAGGGGATACTAATGCTTAACTAAATCTAATTAACTAAATCTAATTGACTCTAATTCTTTGTTGTTAAACAATAGATAGCTGTTATTGCAGCCTTTTTAGCCGAGCAGGTCGATGATTTCTTTGGGAGTTGCCACCCAGGGACTCAACCAATGACATGTCGACCAGGAAATTCCGAAGGGTGCAGAAGAAAGAAAACCAGTGGAGCAGCAGCCTGGCGAATGAAGCTGGAGATGATGAGAGCAATTGGTGAATTTGGGGATTGGGGTTCACGGGATATATACCCTCTGGTAAACATACAAAAAGCTTTTGAAAATGGCCATAGAAATAGTGGACTTACCGATTAAAAATGCTGATTTCCCATAGTTATGGTAGTTTACCAGAGGGTAAAACATATTATATAACCATCCCCATGTATATAACAAATCCCAGGGGATGGGATATACAATATAAATGCGCAAAATATAACGGCCTCACTGCGACCGAACCCTGGAATCATGATTAACAAGGGGAATCATCCCAAAATGGCCTTATTTTAGTGAATTGTTATTATTTGCCCAGATATATATATATATATAAAACCAAATATATCCAACATGGGTTTGTCTACATATGCAAGGACCACTAAATTTGATGGTTGAAAACAGCATTCATCATGTTCATTATCTGGGTGCCATGTTGGGCTAAGTCCATCATGGCTTGAGCTCATCTGAGCCGACAATTCCACATCCAAGCAGGATCCCTCCAATTTTCCAAGTCCTCCAAATCCAATCCTCCAATAATAAATGCTTGAACCATGATTAACAATGGTTCATAATGATCAATAACCCAAATGCTCCATGGTGCTGGAATATGAATCCCAACATTTACCCGAACAAAATCACCCAGTTATGTAGGTAAATATACCAGCACCATGGTTCGCATATGGGTAATGATTAATCATGGTGAGGAATCCCCATCAATGGATGGTTTTGAGCAATCCAAAAAAATGGCGTGGCAGAGAGTTGGATGTGGCTGTAGATCTGGAAAGCCATGGGGAAAACCCGTTGGGAAAATGATGGACAGCCATGGTGGGTCTTACATATCTGTGTGAACAGAAACTGGAGAGAATTCTGAAAAATAGTGATTCTACATGTTATTGACTTGCCCATATATTCCTGGGATATTAAGGTTAAACCATGCTGGTTGGTGGTTTGGAACATGAATTCTATTATAACCACTATTATTATATAATCCCATTATTGATGATTACCCTCTGGTAAACTAACATAGCTATTGAAAATGGCTATTTATAGTTGATTTACCCACTGAAAATGGTGATTTTCCATAGCTATGTTAGTTTACCAGAGGGTATCCCATTATAATCCCATTATATAATCTCATTAAACCATGGTTAAACCTCATTTTTCCTGGTGAAATCCTTTTCGTTACCCGAGGCATGAAGTCTGGAAGCTCAGGGGTGAGCCAGGTATCGGAGTAAGCCATCCATAAAACAATAAAATATGATCAGGTTACTATTACTGGGTAACCTATTGTTATGACATATACTCGTATATATATATAATTATATATATATGTTATTATATGATTATATTAATGGTTATTATGATGGGTTAGTGGTACCTATCATCATATAATATTGGGTAACCTACCTATTATTATGACATATATATACATACACACACACACATTTGGGTAAACTACAACGACCTCACTGCGACCTCACTATAATCATAGTTAGTAAGGGGAATCATCCCCAAGATAGCCTTATTTCAGAAGTAATTTACCCATATATATATATATATATATACACATGTATTATATCATATGAATGGTTATTATGATGGGTTAGTGGTACCTATTATCATGAAATATTTTGGGCCCCAAAGTTGGCAAAGTTGGGCCCCAAAGTTGGGTCCAATTTCACTGGGTTTTTGGGGGAACTATAGCTGGTTGGTCTGGTTGGTGGTTTGGCACATGGGGAATATTAAACATGACTGGTTGGTGGTTTAGTATGGGTTAATCATGGTTAATGATGGTTAATAATGGTTAAAAATCACTGGTTTGTGGTTTCAAACATGTTTTATTTTCCATTTCATATGAATGGATGTCATCCTTCCCATTGACTTTCACTCCATCATTTTTCAAGATGGTTATTTCACCACCAACCAGATAGTTAAAAAGGGATTATAGATCAACTTGTAGCTGGGGGGCCACCATCACTGTAATATGTTGGGGAATAGCCATCCATTAACCAGCTAGGACTTAGGGTAGGGTACGAGGCTTTTTGACCCATATTGAAAAATAAACAATATTTTTGATTCAGATTCTACCAACTTCTATTTTGACTTGGGGGTTGCTGTGTTTCTAGAGTAGTGATTTTTATTATTTTTTATTACTGTTCAGCATCTTTCTGGGGAACATTCCGTGTGTATATAGGGGCAACAACCATTGTGTAAACATATATATATATAATTATATATATACAGTATATTACAAGGGTGATTAGAATATGAGATGGTTATCTCCCACCGTAATATACGGCACATATTTATAAGGTTATTCTTATTGGTTATTACCCACTGACACTCAGTGGCCCTTGCTGGAGACCTGGAAGTATATGAGGATTCAATAGGATATCAATGGGGAGACTGTGGATGGAATAAATCTTGCACCAGGCAGGGTAACCATTGGTAACTATAAAACACTGGTTGGTGGTTTGGAACATGTTTTATGGCTTCCCATATATTGGGAATGTCATCATCCCAACTGACGAACTCATATTTTTCAGAGGGGTTGGTATGCCACCAACCAGTTGGTAAGTATAAAACACTGTAATAATGGGATCATAATGGGATGTGTACCATCTACTGGCTGGTGCAAGATTTCGCAACCATCCACAGTATGATAGGAGCTATTCTCAAGGACTATTTCCAACCATGAGGTTTCTCTGAAAATAAGGTAGCCCATTCTATCCACTGCTGAATCATCAATTTCCCATTTTCAGATACAGCTAGATACCGACATATGTTGAAGAAAATATCTACATCCATACTTTCTAATTTTGTTGATGATCATTAAATATTAACATCACGCTAGAACAGCAGTGGATAGCCAGCCGGGATAGGGCTTTGAAGTGGTTGATTGCGAAGTAATAGGAACAAGTGGCGTATATATATATATGCCATACTGGGTTATAGTTACAGGCTTCGCGTTGGGTTCCCTTTTCCATGATTCATTTTTTAAATCATGTTTTTTCCCGCTGATCAGGGTATCATCACCATAGGTGATCAAGCCGACATTTCCAGATGAAATCGCCAAGGAAACTGGTTGAAAATCCCAGCTGATGTGTCTCTTGTTGCATTTTGCAACCGATCCAATTTTGAAGTGGTTACGGAATGCAATCCTAGCCATTCCCGTTTCTTTTTTTCAGAGTTACAGTATCAAGTCGGAATATGTTTGAAAATTCCATAGACTGTCTACTTCAGAATGGCTTCAGAATGATTATTTGTAGGGTATATATAGATACCTAAGGTTAGTTGTTTATGTATCTATATGAATCCATATTGTATATTGGAGTACATATTGAGATCTAGATCCCTTTGTTGCGGTGTGACCCCACCATGCCCTTGCTCTCCGAGACCATCTACTGCAAGCATTGCGAGATGTGGCTGAACGGCCCCACACAGTGGCGAGCCCCGGAAATCCAGGGTTTTGCCTTGAAAAGGAATCTACACATGGAGGGCATTTCCATGGTTTTCCCGGATGTCTATGTTAGTTTAGGTAAGAATTTGATTGGGGTTACTGAGGGTTAGTGTATTAGTGACCCAAGTGCCGCAAGACCCAATTCAAAAGGGTTGAGCCTTTTGAGTGGGGATTTCTGATAAATAATGCAGGCTAGAAGCAACAAGCCGGTTTGATCAAGATTTTAATTGGTTACAGAAAGGAGTGGAAATGAGCGGACATGCTGTTCCCCGCCACAACAGACCACAATCCGCTTTTGAACCTATCAACATTTTGAAACTAGATGAGCACAGCAGCTATGCGGGGATTTGCGAATGCAAATGTGAGAAGGCAACGAAACCAACCTTGAGTACGGTCAAGTGACGGTTGCCATAGGTGGGCCGATCATGAGATTGGGAAGAAACATCAGAAGGCCATCCGACGCGATCAGGCGCAAACCGGGGAACCCCAGTGAATCCCAGTGGCGGGCAGAAAATTCTTGTTTGGAGGAGGCGATGGGAATCGAATGTTTTTTTTCTTTAAAGTCTTGACATTCCAGGCACTCCCATACAATAAAATGATACAAAATGTTGATCTTTTTGATGTTTCTTGTAATTCTTTTTGGATTTCGGTTCAGTTCAACTGGGAGGTTTTAGGGTCTCCACTCATCAGCAATTTCAGCACCAGCAAAAAGCCGCCTCGGGTCAGCAAATCTTCTTAAACTCTGATGGCCTCTGACAACGTCCTATTGCCTGGTGATATTCACAGATAAGTCACACATATTCTCCATACATATTCTCATGATTTCTCATGCTGCCAAAGAAAGGTGATTCAGCCTCCCACAGGGCTTGCTACTCTGCGAGTTGACGCTTTTCGCGGATGCGCTAAGTATCCTCACTTCAGAACTACATATCCACTTTGATTGGGGGTTCGACATCTACAAAAACTGATTCAAAAACCTGCAGATGAACATATGGATGGGAAAATGGTTAGTACTCCCAGTTCTGGCATGTTATTTTGATAGGGAACATTGTCATGAACCGCTGGATTTAGGAGTTGTCCAATATTTTCTTCTTATATACTGAGTTTTTGATGTTCAAAGTATAATGGTTTTGAACTCTTCTCCGCTCGAAATATGGAACATCGAGCTGTGTGGAGCGACACAATTGGTCACAGCTACTCTTTGACCTTTCATTTGTTTGGTCAGAAAATTGCATCAGGGAGCTCGTGGAGGAAAAATTCCTGGCATCTTCAAAAAGACCATGCTGAATGCAATTTGCCTGGTTATTATAAATTCAATTTGAATTTACAAAAATGTTGAATGTCAATGTCGTCATGCCAAGGTCTTCAATCATCCCAGGAGCTGGCAGAGTGTGCAGCATATCCTTCGGAATCCTGCAAATGTTGTTCTCATCAAAATTCATTGCTGGATTCCACCGAACTGGTGCGATCGTGCTAGTGCTAATCATCTTTGCTTTCTTGTCTGTGCCTTTTCGTACGAA